CTGGTCTGGCGGTGGGGTGAGGCAGGGCTGTGCACCACTCAGGGCCTCGTCCCCCTCCCTGCCCGCAGTGCGTGGCCGGCGGGATCCTGCGGGGCACGGGGAGGCAGGCCTTCGGGGCCATCGTGAACGCCGTCATGTACTACATCGTCGGCCTCCCCCTGGGCATCGTGCTGGCCTTCATCCAGGGCATGAGGATCATGGGTACGAGGCCTGGGGTGGGGGAGGAGGGAGGATCGGGCAGGCCCTGACCATCCCCCAACCATCCCCCGGCCCTTCCCATCGTCCCTTGCCTCCCGCAGGCCTCTGGCTGGGCATGCTGACCTGTGCCTGCCTGGCAGCCGCCGCCTTTGTTGTCTACACTGTCCGGCTGGACTGGAAGCTGGCGGCGGAGGAGGTGAGTGGATGGGCGGCCCCAGCCACATGGGCAGAAACACCCAGAGCAGGGTCAGGACTGGGGGATGTGTGGGAGGGGCCATGGAGGGAAACCCCCCCCCCCAGGCTCACTGGCCGCTCCTGTCTTGGTAGCTGCCCAGGCAAGCAGCACATCCAACAGCTACGAGCAGAAACCCTGAAACCAAACATGTTCCAGAGACAGCCCCCACCCCACACACGCCATGCCCCCACCCCACAATGCCATGCCGGGAGCCAAGCAAAGCGCTCAAGCTCAGCTGAGCGCACACGAGCCCCCAAGAGTGGGCCCCGGCCTGGGCAGGACTGTGGCCTCACCGTGCCCACAGGCCCGGGCAGCCTGGGCCGCTCCAGGCAGGACGCCCCTTGCTCCGTGATGACGTCATCTGGCCACTTGGCACACTGCTGTGTGACTACAAGCACGTGCAGCTGCTGCCTCAGGCCCCGCAGCTCCCAGGGAGGGCACCGGGAGCGGGGCAGAGCGGGAGGGTGCGGGCTGGCCCAGGCACGCCTCCTCTCTCTCCTCCAGGCGCAGAAGCACGCGGGGCTGCAGCAGCAGGGAGCGGAGGGCGCAGCCCCCGGCCCAGGGCCCGACAGGGCAGCTGTCTCTTCAGGTAATGGGGTCACGGCTGCTTCCACACTCACACATGCACACAGGGAGAGGTACAGACACACTCAGATGCACACACAAAAGTGCACACCCACACTCAGATACACACAACAGCGCCGCACACAGATATAAACATAATACACACACAGACACATATACACACACAGAGAAATACAGACATGCAGAAGTACAATACACACACACACACACACACCTGCTCCAGGCTGTCTGCCGGTACCCGTGAGTACAACAGCCAAGCACAGGGAGCCAGTCACATCCACCCTGCTTGGCAGGCATGCGAGGGTCGGCTGGCACCAAGAGCATGAGACGCAGCCAGCTGCGGCCACGTTCTCAGACCAGGGACTTTCCTGCCCCCTCCGCCCCACATCCCCTAAAGGAAGAGGGGGGGGGGCGTGAGCAGTGTTCCCTTTGACTCCAGCTTGGCCTCCCAAACGCCACCCCAGGTCCAGGGGCCATCCTGGCCTCCAGCTGCGGGCCCAGGGAGGTTGGACTGCCCGACTCACCAACTGCAGTGGCACATGTTCTCTGGATCTCCATGTCTACAGGACAAAGTGGTGGTCCCGGGGGTTCCCTGCCAGCCTCCCAGGGCCGGTGTGAGTGCCAGGCGTGTGTGTAGCAGCCCACGGCCCATTAGGGAGCACTGTGCCCGTGGCCTCCCCTCCTTCTGGGGCTGTCCCTGACCAGCACAGTGAAGCCAGCTCTTGACACTCTGGGGGCTCTCCTGCCCCACGGGGTGGGACGGTAAGACGGGACCAAATAACTGTCCAACAGGTGCTTCTGAAGTCCCACATGGTGGGCACGCTGCAAGGCCACGCTCCAACGTGACCGCTCCTTGTGGCACCTTAGCAGGGAGCGCTGGCTGTACAGCCAACACCCAGTTGAAGCCACTTTCCCGTACATTCCCTCTGTGACTCGGAAGGTAAAGGAGGCAGGTGTTTCCTCCATCTGCTCTTCCAAGGCCTGAGTGCTAACAACCAGGCACGCAGTGAGACACCTGCAGCCAGACAGGTCGCCTGGGTTCCCAGGCGTCACCCCTGCCCTCCGTGCACACGGTGGGCTGAGCTTCATCCCGTTTGCTCCTGCAGTGGCCACGGGCAGCAACCCCGGCATCACCTTAACGAAGTACTCCCGGCCCGAGTGTCCCGCGTTCTCCCCGAACTCACAGGCAGCCCACACGGCAACTGCACCTGCTGGCTCCCTGTCCCTGAGACAAGTGGTCATCCGGCGTGGGGCCACCCTTGGGGCGGCATCAGCCCTGTTGGGGGTGGGGCTTCTGGTCAGGATGCTGACCACCCCCAGCTACTAACCGGCACACGAGGCTGCATCTTGCCCGCAGGAGTGGGCAGACAGGCACACAGCCTGGGGCAGGGGGACCCCGGCACCGCCTATGCCTCAAAACCAGGCATGTCCCTGGGCTTCCTGGTGACTTCCGGAGGGCTCTGAACCGGCAGACTGACCACCATGCTGTGCCAAGCGGGCCATTTCTTCTCTGATCTGGGGCGCTCCTCCAGTGCCAGCCAGAGGAATGAGACTCCTGGGACTGCCATGTCTATCCAGGACGTAAATGGATCCAGGGGGGAAATTACAAAATGAAAACCAGAGCCACCGTGACATTAAAAAGCACTGATTTCTCAGCCACGGCCTGTGGCCCACGTCTATTTGTGAACTTTCTGTGAGACTCCTGAGAAGGGGGCCCTGTCCAGGCAACCCCTGTGTGTGCAGGCGCAGCAAGAGCTGCCCAGGGCCGGTCTGACGACCCCTCCGTTCCTGGCCCCAAGTTCCTGCATTCCACCAGCGTTTTCCCTTGTCCTGGACTCTGACACACACTTGCTGCTTGCAGACTTCTTGCTTCAGGAGTGCGAGCATAGAAACCAGCAGAGCAAAGCCGCTGGTTACTGTCCCCAGCCTGGGGAGGAAGTCCACACTGGTTTAGATGCTCTGGAGGCCTGGGACTCGGAGATGTCCCCCGCACCGGGCTACCCAGCGTGGACAGTGGGACCGTCCAGCCGCCTCTGCCCCACGGCTCCAGCTCCCCTAGCCGGAAGCATGCCCGGCCGGAAGGGAAATGGATCATCAGTGAAGGTCACAAGGAAAACTCGACCCTCGACATGAATGTTCAGCTCCATGTCGCTCTCAGCGGCTTCCTCCCATGGAAGGGCAGGGGAGACCGTGTCGTGGTGACACCAACACCCTGGTGACCTTCCACCACGCAACCAGAACAGCTGGGTGCACCGCATGGCAAAGCGATGAGGAAAGGCTAGACCCCACGCCGGCCCTGCCCCCCAAGTGTGTTCCGAGGTCCTCCGGCGTTGAGGCAGAAGGGAGCACGGTCCAGGAGGGCTGGGAAACACACACCGGTGCCTCAAAGGGTCCATGAGCGTTGGTCCTTCCTGTGCAAGGTGCTCTGCAGAGGGTTGCCATGGGGACCACTCTCCATGTGAGAGCTTGGGCAATAAGGGCTCGTCCACCAGGCTTACAGAAGCACCTGCTTGAGGTGAGGAGGAAGAAGAGGAGGATGCCCTGGGGAAGGAAACCTACATGCTCCAGCTGGCGCCCACACACACACACACACACGCACACACATGCACACGCACGCACACACATACACACAGACACATACACACATGCACAGACACACACGCACACACACACACACACACACACACCCCAGGAGGGTGGAGATCTTCCAGGCCAAGACTTTGTAAATGAGAACAGGTTGACCAGGAAAGCTGACCCAGGCCACCTTTCATAGATAAAGGCAACAAAAGGAGATTTATATTTGGGAGGAAGTTCATGCTCCTGGGGGTATCTCCACACAGACGAGGGTCCACACGCAGGGTCAGCCTTCCCATCCATTTCATGGAATTGATTTATTTTGCAAAGTATATTATGAGGTAAGCCAATAATTTAGCTTAATTAAAACTGATATATTAGATGAGAATTCCACATTGATATTTTGTTACTGATTTTTTCAAACGGCTGATTATTCTGATAGTTTAGACAACGTTGAGCTAAGCCAGGGCAGCGGTTAGTTGCTGGCACCTCACACTGCGAAGGCGACGGGACGTGTTTCCGACAGCTTTAACGGGACCGAGGGTTCAACAGAGCCAGCCGTCCATTCGAGGCGCCGCAATCCCTCAGTCCCCGGGTTTCCCTGCTTGGCCCAGCGCAGCCTTCCGCCCGAGGTGCTGAGAGGGCCCCTGTTTCGCTCGCTCACCAGGTCCTTTGCCACCCTCCAGCCCCGTCAGGGTGGCCAGTCGGCTTACTCCCCAGTGCCCCCCTCTCTCCCCGGGACTGCATCTCCCTGCCAGGCTGACAGCCCTGTCCTCCCTGCCAAGGCCTCCTCTTCCGTCGGGAGAAATCCCTGCAGTGTGGCCAAAGGGAGCTCTCCGAGTGCTCATGAAGGCAGCTTCCGTGTGCTGCAGAAATCAGTCACTGTCCAGGGTGGGCCGGGGGCGGTCCTGGGAGAGCAGAGGTTTTGTATAATGACTTCTGGTACTGCAGCTTTCAAGGCCACTTCGGTTTTCTGCAGGGGGGAATCACTGTGAGGACGGTGACACCTGCGTGTGACCGTCAGGCCCGTCAGGAAGCAGAGGAGTTACAAGATGCCCTGAGTGGTACCAGTTGCAGGAGCAGCTGTGGACGGCCACGGTTGGCTGTCACGGAAGGTGTGCGAACACGAGAGGACGGGACAGCGGGTCAGAGGGCCTCAGGTCAGGCCTTCAGGTGTCCCCAGGTAAGAGGAGACCCACCCCCAACACATGCAGGGAAGACCCCAGCTCAGCTCTGAGTGTTGAGGACAGCTGGCCCTGCACGGGCAGTGCCGAGCGCCAGAAGTCTCCCCAGGTGGTGAGGGGGCAGATCCGGGGAAGGGGGGTTCTGGTGGCCTCGTCCATCCCCAAGGGCACAGATGCAGCCCAACAGCTGCTCCTCCCCAGCCCAGGCGCCAGGACCTGGTGAGCACAGTCCAGAACAGCTTCTCTGCATCTCTCGCTCGCGGGGAACGCTGAGGTCTGGCTGAAGGGTGAGCTTTATTCATGGAGAATGGCAATGACTTCCGGAATGATCATGGTACACTTAAGGATTTTCTGCTTTTGGGGGGGGGAGTGAGCAGGATTTACCAATCACAAGTTCATTAACCTCTTCGTAGAAGAATGATTCAGCGAGGCAGCCAGGAGCTGGACGAGGGCCGCTCTTCAGTAGTATCCAGTCTGCAGGGAGGGGAGGGCAGCCAGGTGACCCCACGGGGTTAGCAGCCTGCCCGCAGCCCGCCGTGCGTCATGCGCTCAGCAGGGGGACCTGCCCGCACCTCCCGCCAGGAGACTGTGTACGCTGAGGCAGACAGCCCGTGGGTCCCTAAGAAGTGCGGTGCGATAGAGGGGACGCCTTTCATCAACACACACACTAACAAGACACAACATACACACTCCCACATGTGCAACAAGACAGGCAGTGATGTCCGACAGCGGTGAGATGGCACCGCTGTAGACAGGAGTTAAAAACAGCCAGTTATTATCCTAGCCTTTTATAAGGAAGCCGAAGGCCCTGCGGTTTTGTTCCTGAGAGTCAGAAGTGGGCATGGACTTGATCCATCCCGCCGAGGCCAAAGAAGTACAGCTGTGCTCCCCATCACAGCTTCAGTGGGGTGACAGCCCTGTGATGGCTCTGCCTTTCAGACCCGCCCCACCGCAGCATGTTCTGCAGAGTGGAACCGCCACGGGACGGTGCTCTGGTGAACTTGGCTCTGCATCCTTTCTAACTGGGTGGTGTGGAACCGCCACGGGACGGTGCTCTGGTGAACTTGGCTCTGCATCCTTTCTAACTGGGTGGTGCACAGGTCAAATGAAGCCCAGACACACAACCAAATGGGTAAGCTGGCAAGTGCGGAAACGCCGTTTCAGAAAGCTGGCTACGCCTGCAGTACTCCTCAGAATTGTCTAAAACAAAAGGCAAGAAGAAACAGGATTGAAACGCTCAAAGGAGAGTGCCCAGAACCAGCAGAGAGGAAAATAAAACTTTCCCGAGCCCCAGAATAAGCAAAAAAAAATAAGGACAGTAAGAGGTTGCATCATACTGGAGGCATCAGCCAGCGGGGATGAGGCCGAGGAGGAGCGGAAGGCGGCCTGGGCAGTCGCTGATGCCAACTCCCTCGCTCTGTGGCCGGGAACAGCTGGGACAAGCGAGGGCGTGTGGCAAGGTCAGTATCACGGCCAGGACCAAAGCCAAGCACTCCTGATCCCAGCTAAGGGTTTGTCTGTGTTGTTTCGCTAGCCCTGATGGAAGGCCCCTTTAGGGATCTCAGCAGGGCTACCAAGGGGCCTGGCACCTGAGGGAGTGCCCCAGGCACACAGTAAGCCTGGGGGGCTCAGCCCAGCTCAGCCCAGCTCAGCCCCTCTGCACGAGGCTGAGGAATTCTAAGCAAGAAGAGGCAGATCGCGCTTGGAGGATAATGTTAACGGGACAGAGACCCAAGCCTGCCTCCAGCTGTTCTCCAGCCTCGCTCATTTGGGGGAAAAAATAAGTGTGTATTGGGGAAGGAGGGAGGGACACAGGAGAGTGGAACCCCCATGCTTCTTAATCTATATCATGAAAACTGTGAGATCCATTCATACAGATTTTTCAAATAATAATAATATAATGTAAAAGACGTGAGCGCAGTAAGGCCTGAAGGCAGGCCGGGGCTTGATTCACTGCACCACCTGCTATGAATTCCACAATCTAACTTTTTTTCAAAACCAAGCACCTCAGATCGACTCAGAGATTTTCAGATTATTCCAGGTTCCAAACCCTGCGTTCAGTGCCTAGCTGGCGGCCTGGAGCCGAGGGGCCACACATCCCCGGGGAGCCGGGTGCACAGGTTCAGCACTGAGGCTCCCGCCGGGCTGTCCTCTCGGGAAATGGCGGCCGCTGCCCCGCTGCCCCGCTGCCCCTACATGTGTCTCTCCGGCCCCGAGCGACACCCCAACCCTGAGTCGTGTCCTTCTAGAATTGTGGGCAGGTGGAGTTGTAGCAGCTCGACTCTCTGGGCCAAGAAGCATGCCCCTCCAGCAGCCCCTGGCCCTCCTCCTGCGGCCAAGCAGGTGCCTGGAAGAGAAGCGTGGCCTGACTCGGCCCGTCTCACACAGAGAAAGCAAGCAAGGGGTTCCTACCTCACTTCGCACAGCCAGAGCTGGCCTTTGAAATCTGTCCATCACTGCTTGCCGGACCCACACAGGCTGTGAACTACCAGAAAAACCAACAGGGCCTTTCTCCTCAGCACAGCTTGGTGTTTCTGAGAAAACCCAAATGATTTCACATGCAACTGCCGGCTCCCGTCCCAGCACACGTGAGATGAGCCCTGATGTGTCACCGAGCTGTGTCTAATCAGTGCTTCCTTCTCGCGTCTCTCATTCCCCACCGACGCTGTCAGCATCTGCCACGTGTGTCCCCGGCTGGCTGGCTGAGCACTCCCAGAACACAACCATCAGAGGATGGCCCAAGCACCTGAACCCCTGCTACCCATGTGGGAGACCTGGAGGAAGTTTTTGGCTTCAACCAGGCTGTCATGGCCATTGCACCCATCTGGGAAATTAACCAGCAGATAGAAGGTTTCTTTCTTTCTCTCTGTCTCTCCCTCTTGTTGTAACTCTGACTTTCAAATAAATAAATCTTCAAGAAAAAAAAAAGTGGGGGGAGGAAGGATGCACCGTGGCATAGTGTGTTAAGCTATGGTCTACAATGCCGGTGCCCTATATATTTGTCATATCTGCTCTAGTTCTAACCCAACTTCATGTTTATGCATCAGAGGATGACCCAAGTCCTTGGGCCCTGAACCCACGTGGGCAACCCAGAAGAAGCTCCTGGCTTCAGCCTGATCCAGATACACCATGTGTAGCCAACTGGGGAGTAAACCTGTGGATGGAAGATCTTTTCCTTTGTCTCTGCTTCTCTGCATAAATCTGCCTTTCCAATAAGATCCTGGAATTCTGTCTGAATTTCCAATGTCGGCAACAGCAGCCCAAGCCCTTGAACCAACTTCTACTTTTCCGGGAGCATCCGCAGGGAGCTGGATGGGACTGGAGCAGCCGGGACATCCTCCCAGAGGATGGGGCTGACCCGCAGCTGTTTGCCTGTGATGGGAAGGTACTTGAAAAATGCAATTTCATGATCATTTTTTGTGCAACAACAATAAAAAAAATTTTCAGAATCATATACATGCAGTAACTTGCAAAGGAATTCTGTAGGAAAGACCCCCTGTTTAAGTGGGCTTTAATCTTATTCCAACATTTTTTATCACAGTCCATATGTATTTTTTTTAATAGGCTTCCTATTCCGCTACCTGCTTGCACAGTGACCCCTTTGCCGCCTTCTGCATCTCACCTCCCCACGGTTCCTTGGGCGCGTCCAGATGCTGGCATCTGGGTCTGTCTTAGAAGAACCCAGCCCGAGACCAGCAGGAACTCGAAAGGTTGACTACAGAGCAGCTAATCATTGTGATTGGCAGCTAATCATTATCACGGTGATGTATTCACCCGCCTGTCCCCTGCAGCGGGAGAAAAGTGGGTCTGAAGGCAGCAGGCACTGCTTTCGGCTTCCCTTACAGAGCACTTGCGGGCTACACATCGCACAGGAGTTCATTCCCTTCCGGCCTAATGGCCACTCTGAGGAACAGAGAGCAAGGGACCTGCTCAATGTCACGATGTCACGTGACTGGCAGGTAGCAGAAAGCAAGATTCAACCCTTGAGGTTGGGACTCAGGCTTTGTGTTAACCCAAGGCTGTCTGGCCTCTCCATGCCCCCCAGGAGAAACCAGAACATCTGGCCCGGCCCTCAAGGCCTTCCTGGACCCTCTCCTGGCTTGATGCAGCCACATCACCCTCCTCACTGACCTTCAGGCTCCCAGGATTGCTCAACCTCCAAGCTTTTGCACCTGCCACCTGCACCACCCTCTCCAGCCAGCCCTGAGTCACCTGGAAGAATCTCAATCCACGGCGCCTTTTCTTCTTGCTGGAGGAGCGTGGATCGCTCCTGGGATGATGCATCTCCCGGGATTCCCGCCTTGCATTGGTCCTCCACCAGACCCTGGGGCCGAGTTGCATCTCCTGGCGGAGGCTGCGCTGCCACCCAGGAGCCGCCAGCAGAGGGCGCTGCCGACACGCGCCTCACCCCGAGAGCTTTGAGGGCGCCCGCAACCCCAAAAAGAGCGCTCCGAGAGGGGCTGGGAGGCCAGGGGCAGACGCTGGTCCCTCTGTAAGAACGCCCATCCCTCAGTAAGGACCCCGGGGCCCTAGGCAGGTGGACATGGAACGAGGAGGAAGACCGAGAGGACTGTGGACATCCTGGGGTCCTACAGAGTGATCCAGTCCCACATCTCACTCTCCTCAGGCCTCAGTCTTGTGGTCTGTGGAATGGGTTTCAGGAAATGCTCCTAGGCCACCTCCAGCAGGTCAGCAGGAAGGTTCCCTCCCCAGCAGTCTCCCCCACTTTCTGCAGTCAGCTTCTTGGAACAGAGTAATCAGGAACAAGAATTCCCTTCCTCTTCTCCCCCTCCTTGCTCCTTCCACTCCTGCTTCCCCTCCACCACTTCCCCTCCCCTCCCCTCTCTCCAGGCCTCTCCCCCTTCCTTCCAGTCCTCTCCCCCCTCGCCCCGCCCTCTGCACCGCTCTATTCCAGGAACCTTCCTGAATGATTCATACTCGGGGTAATCATCTAACCCACAACCACCTCAAGAGTGACAAGGGCTTCCTGACCCCCTTGTCCTGATGGAGGAACAGCCCTGGAGCCAAGCCTCAGGCAGAGAGCAGGCTGCCCCAGCAGAGACTCTGGGCTGTGCTCTGAGCCGAGAGCACAGGCTCCCGATGCTTTCCTGTGCTCGGCAGCCTGTGGGGGAGACACTGTTGATGTCACCGACTCCACAAAGGGAGACCGAGGAACGGAGCAGTGTAGGTCAGCCCAGTCCTCCGAGGGCAGGCACCTGGCCACCCACAGCACCCGTGACACTACGCATCCCTGTCGCAGGTCCGCAGCCAGCAGGACTGGGGGACTGACTTCCCACAATGCCCCGCTCCTTGCATCCACCTGCCTTCCAGTGAGAGGCCAGAGTGGCGTCTGGGGCTGACGCTCTGCCTCCCCGCTACATTGTCCACACGTGAAAACCCCATCCCGACTCCTTCACGCCTGTGGGGGACGGCAGTGATGATGACCACCCACCGTGCGATGGTTGCAAGGCAACTGCTCCCCAAGGTGCACAAGAGCATTCATGCCCACCGTGAGGCCTGCAGGTGGAGGTGCGCTTGCCCAGGGTGGCTGTCTTCCTGTCGTCCCCTGCCCAGTTGATGGCCCTGCACCCTGACCTCAGGACCAGCCAGGATGGGCGGCCCGGAGCCCAACCCTGTGTGTGTTCCCAAGGCAGCAGGGCAGCGGGAGCTGGCTGACACTGGCCCTGAACGCCTGCCGTTCACACGCTGAATTTTCAGTGGTATGGTTCCCTCACTGACTTAGGTCTCTGTTACTGCAAATGTGACTCATTTTATGCCATCCATTTGGAGTTTTGCATGAGGGACACAGACAGTTAAGAGTTCACAGAAAAACAAAGACAGCCACACACTCCTGGGAAGGGAACGGCTGTCGTTGGGGTGCAGCGAGCTGAACACAGAGCTTGCTCAAGATCGAGGCAGATGGAGATGAGCCGCTCGGAGGCTGGAAGCAGCCTTGCGACGGGATGGACCGGCTCGGCCGGGAGCAATCAGTCCGACGGGAACAGGACCCCGGGAACGGTGGGCAAGGATTCGGCGAGTGACAAACAGACACGACAACTCAAGGAAGTTGTATCTGAGTGCATTTTGCAAAAGCAAGGCGTCAGCTTATATACAATAGATTATTGCAAAGGGACATTTTCTTTGTTTATACATGTGGTTACATTTCTACAAGCAATTATTCCAGGGAGGTAAGCAGGTGTGTTGAGCAAAGCTTGTTCTCTAATAGCCTGGTGACAGCCTGCAGTTGCTATTTCCTATGGACGCAGTTTGACACCCTTTGACTTTTAATCATTAAGTAGTTAGCTCTCATTGTGTTTTGTGCCTTACACTGGTTTTAATATTAACTTGCCTATATTTCTAGTTTTTCTTCCTGTATGGCTTTTTAAGCTGTAAATCTCTACTATAATCTTCCTTTTAGGAATTCTCAAAAATAGTCCTAAGTAGGTTCATTAAAGCTAGAAACTTGATAGTTTTTAACTCAGACTGCTTGCTATCCTTGTCCAATCTCCCGTCAGAAGGCTTCATAGAACTATAAAGGAACATTGAGCCTTTGCCGCACATAAACAGTATTATTCCAGTCATAAAGATAAGAGCAAAGAGAGTACAGCTAGGAACGCCAAGACCACTAGAGATGCAGCCGATTCCAGGAGGCATCCTTCCTTGAAGCTTCCGCCTCGGCCCGGTGATTTCTCACGCAGGCTCCACTGGAGGTGGCGTGACACAGCCTAATGCCAGGAGCTCAGTCCTGCTTCACGTCCAGCTGCTCCACTTCCCATCCGGCTCCCTGCCTGTGACCTGGGAAAAGCCTTGGGACCCTGCACCCACATGGGAGACCCAGAAGAAGTTCCTGGCTCCTGGCATCCGATCGGCACAGCACCAGCCATTGCGGCCACTTGGGGGGGTGAATCATTGGACAGAAGATCTTTCTGTCTCTCCTCCTCTCTGTATATCTGACTTTCCAATAAAAGATTTAAAAAAAAATTTTTTTAAGAGATCCTAAAAGCATACAAATGAAGGAAGGCACCCAGGGTTTCGGCATAGCAGGAGTGTGGTGTGTACGGCTGGCAGCAGGAAATGGAGGCCTCATTCCAGGAGAGGCAGACGGCAGCACCACCCGGGCCACGAGGAGTCAGGGAGAGGACCTGGGTTTCTCCACGCCATGCATTTGTACAGGTGTCGCTGAAACTTGGAGACAACCCCGGTGTCATCAGCAGGGATGGCTAGTGGCTACGCACTGAGGAGGGGGTGATGGCCCAGGAAGGGGAGCCCCCCTTGTCTACACTACTCTTCACTTTACAGAAAATAGCTATAGGATGCAGTTCGGTGGAGGGGAAAGGACAGCCGGGCACCAGGATGGAGGGGAGAAAGCAGGGCCGGGGGTGGACCCTGGGCACGTTCCCCTGGCATGCAGCGAGCCGGGCACAGGGGCATGGATGCACGGCCCTGGAAGCCCGCTCCACTGCCTCAGCAGGCAGAGCAGCCAGCCCTGGAGAGACGCTGCCCGCAGGCCGAGGAGGACGTCCAGACGCGCGCCCAGCCCTTCTCGGAGCCAAGGTCGGCTGGTGGGGAAGACGCCCGGGTGACGGGCTGCCACAGGGCACAGGGGTGCAGGGGGCGGGGCCTGCTGTAGGGGGCGGGGCTTGCTGCTGGGGGTAGGGCCTCAGGCTGCCGGGGCGGGGCCTGCGGCGGGGCGGGGCCTCAGGTGGGGCGGGGCCTC